AGGCTGGAGTGGCAGGACAGGCAGTGGAGGAGGAGTCCTGAGCAGAGGACTCAGGCCCAGCATCATTTGATCTTAGGATCTTGGATCTGTGGATTTGCAAACTGCAAGGGCTGTTGGGTTGTGAGGAGTAAGCCAGGTGAACCGTCGGTTCTTTCAGAACAAGCTGGCCTTGGGGCAGTGAGGCCCGGGGGAGGAAGGAAGGGATGGTTGATTGTCACATGGACAAATGGGTGGACAGATGACCAAGTCAGGTGGTATTTGCTTTACAAGTGAAGCTGCCAGGACCATGCAGGGCAAAGGAGATGCCAGGGGAGATTCAAGCCCCCCTCCACCACACATGCCCTGGGGAGAGTGCTGGGGTTGTGCTCGAGGTGCGGACAGAGAAGCCAGTGTGGTTTGAGAGTGGGACTGAGGGTTGCTGGGGCAGGGTAAACCCAACGGTAAGGGCTGTGAGGACTGGTGCCTCCTGACGCCTTGGAGAAAGACACAGAACCCAGAACACCAACAGATTTGAAGGCAAGTATCAGAGATGGGAAACCATGGACACACAGACATGAGCACTCTCCTGACAGGATAGGCGTGTGATCTTGGGGCCAGGGCTAGGGGGCAGGAAGGGGTTGCTGAGGCTCCAGGGCTCTCGTGGGAGTGAGCAGAGCTGGGGAGGAGAGACCTGGAAGGGTTGAGGGCTGGATGCCCAGAAGAAAGCCTGGCCACAGCCTGGAGCCACTCCACCTTCTGGCAGAAACCAGCTTCGAAGAGGCAGCAGGGGGAAGGGAGGCTTGGACGAGAGGATGGATGGGCTGTGGGGAGCAGACAGACAGAACCCAGAGTGGAGGCTCAGCCATATCACAGAAAGGCAGGGCAGTATCTTGTTCACCACTGGGGATGCAGAACAGACCAGGAGCCAGGAAATCTGGGTTCTGGCCTTGGCTATGCTTCAGGTTTGCGGTGTGACCATGGACCACACTGTCTTCTCTGGGCCTGATTCCAAGGGCTAGGCACAAAAAGAAAAACGGTACGATTCTTCTTATGTGAGTTACCTAGAATAGGCAAATGCAGAGAAAGAAAGTAGGCTAGAGGTTGCCAGGGCTGGAGGCTAGGGGAGGGGGCAGTTATTGTTTAGTGGGTAGAGTTTCAGTTTGGGTTGATGAGAAAGTTCTGGAAATGGACAGTGGGAATGGTTACACAACATTGTGTGTACTCAGAGTCATTTAAAATGGTAATTTAGTGCCGGGCTCGGTGGCTCAACCTGTAATCCCGCGCTTTGGGAGGCCGAGGTGAGTGGATTGCCTGAGCCTGCGGGTTTGAGATCCGCCTGGGCAACTTGGCGAGACCTCATCTCTACAATAAATCAAAAATTAGCCAGGCGTGGTACCGTGCGCCTGTAGTTCCAGCTACTTGGAAAGCTGAGGCGGAAGGATTGACGGAGCCCAGCAGGTCGAGGCTGCGGTGGCCGGGAGCGGCCACTGCACTCCAGTCTGGGAGACAGAGTGAGACTTCAACTCAAAAAAAAACAAATAAAATAAAATAAAATAAAATGGTAATTAAAAAAATAGATGCAGGGTCTAAAATAGAGACAGGGTCTTGCTTTGTCACCCAGGCTGGAGTGTTGTGGCACAATCATCACTGCAGCCTCAAACTCCTAGGCTCCAGCGATCCTTCTGCTTCAGTCTCCCAAGTAGCTAGGACTACAGGCGTGAGCTGCCAAACCTGGCTTTTTTTTTTTTGAGTTGGAGTCTTACTCTCTCAGCCAGGCTGGAGTGCAGTGGCACACCCATGGCCACCTCAGCCTTAACCTACTGGACTCTGGTGATCCTTCAGCTTCAGCCTTCCAAGTAGCTGGAACCACAGGCGTGTGCCACCACGCCCAGTTGATTTTTTATTTATTGTAGAGACGAGGTCTCCCCATGTTGCTCAGGCTGTTCTTGAACACCTGAGCTCAGGTAATCCTATCACCTCTGCCTCTCAAAGTGCTGGGATTACAGTCATGAGTTACCACACCCGGCTTCACCTGGCTAATTTTTAAAATTTTGTAGACCCCTGAGTGTAAAGACAGCTCTTGGAGTTGCTTCCATGCAACTGCCATTTGCCACTGATGATTGTTTTTCTCTTCCTCTGGGAGAGCAAGAGGGGGAGGATGTTGAGTGGTCTCTTCTTTTTTTTTTTTTTGAGTTAGAGTCTCACTCTGTCGCCCAGACTGGAGTGCAGTGGCCACTCCC